ATCAAGCAAGTACAGAAAAGGGATCTTCATTAGTCAAACAAAATACACAAAAGAACTCATCAAAAAAATTGGCATGTCCAACGCGAAGGCCATAGGAACACCTATGAGTTCATCAACTACCTTGGATGAAGATAAAGACGGTAAGAATGTTAATGAAACAATGTATCGAGGTATGATTGGCTCCCTACTCTATCTTACAGCTAGTCGACCAAATATTATATTTAGCGTTTGCAAATGTGCAAGATATCAGTCAACTCCTAAAGAATTCCACTTGCATGTTGTTAAATGTATTATCAGATATTTGATAGGGACAGTCGACTATGGATTATGGTACGAAAGTTTAGATAATTTTGATCTCAAAGGTTTTTCAGATGTAGATTTTGCAGGAGATAAAATTGACAGAAAAAGCACAAGTGGAATGTGCCAGTTACTTGAAAAATCTCTTATGTCCTGGAATAGCAAGAAATAAAGTTGTGTAGCCCTATCTACTACTGAAGCGGAATATTTTGCAGTAGGTAACTGCTGCACACAAGTACTATGGATTATGCATCAACTATTAGATAATAATTTACGTATTAACTGTGTTCCTATTATGTGCGATAATACTAGTGCTATCTGTCTATCAAAAAAATATGTGCATCATTCGAGGGCTAAGCATATTGAGATTAAGCATAATTTTATACGTGATCATGTTGTTAAAGGTGATATTGTGTTAGAATTTATAAATACTGAAAATCAGTTAGTGGATATTTTTACAAAACTTTGCTTGAAGAAAGATTTTGTTTCCTTCGTAACAAAATAGGTATTTGTACAATTCTCGTATTACTGTGTTTAATGTTTTCCTTAATTGTCTTATTCTAATTTTTGTCCATATATTTTTTCGTAATTTTTGTCCCAAAAATCTTTTAATTACTTGATTAGTTGGTACATGTATTAATTGTGAATTGACGGTGGGCTCGCATAAGGCAACTTTTCAGTTGTCCTTCACATGTCTCTCCGAGAATCAAGGCATCCTCTCTAACCCTTCTTAACCCCTTATCCCTCGATCATATATCTCATTCTCTCAAAGAAACTCAATCTATATCTCTCTGTTTTCTTTTACTCATGGCCAAAACCAAACCCTCTCTTTCCTCCTCCATATCCAATAGAAGTCATCGCTTCAAGAAGACCAAAGATGATCCTGTTGATACAGAATCTTCAGAAAGCACAGACCATCTACTGACCGAGGAAGATTCCAGTGACTCTCAAGAAGACATTCTCATCTCCCAAAAGAAGGCGGAAAAACGACCAATGGAGTCCTTCCCTAAACAATCTTCTCAGAAAAAGGAAAAACCTGAAAGTGTAGAGTTTGGCCCTGAAGATAAGATGAACTTCTATGGCTCTGAAGAGAAGGCTAGGTTTTTTGCCTTCAAATGAAAGTCGATTGCTTTTGGCCGCACTGTAAGTTTAAAGTCTGTGCAAAACTCTCACTGTGATGTTATGTCTGTTTTCGAAACTCAAAAACTTGTCTCTCTATTTGTTACTATTGGTGATATTGTCTATGAAGAGCATGTGTGTATGTTTTATGCAAATCCGTTTGTGAATGATAAAGATGATCTAGAATCCATGGTTTTAGGAACTCGTATCATTCTAGACTCTTATCAGTTTGAGAAAATCTTTGCAACAAAATTTGTTGGGTACAATATTTTTGTGCAACACTCCTGGCCAGATAATTTTGAAGTGTCGTTTGAGGAAGCCAAGAGCACCTGATATAGGCCCAAAAAATTTGAAATTTGAACACCGTATCCTAGCCCACATTATTGCTACCACTTTGCTACCCCGTACTGGTTCACTGAGTACTCTGTCTCTCAGAGATGTATTTGTTCTGTATTGTTTGTAAATGGTAAAAGCTATCAACTAGTTTGCCTGGGTACGTCAGTACATGCTTGAAAGCATCAGGGATGTTTCATTTTTTTCGAACAGTTTTTCCTATGGTTTACTAATCTCTCACATCTTGAAAGTTATGAAAGTGGATCTGTCTCTCAATGCTCCTAAAATTATCTCCAGCACCTATGACAAAACTACCTTTGCCATGATGGGATATACCTTGATTGAGGGAATATGGCTTAAGAAAGACAAAGAACCAGAGTTCATCCCTCCTCAGAGCACTAGGGGGATCAAATCTGAAGCCAGCAAATCCTCTTTCTCAGATCAGTTGCTGCTGATGCAGCAAAACATTACAGGTATCAAGGAGTTACTAACCTCTATGCATGAGCAGGTGGACAAGATCAAGGCAGTAACTAAGGAAACTGGAGCAGATGTGGCTAAGCTAAGGATCACTCTCCAAGCCACAAGGAGGCAAGGGATCAGGCCCATGCAGGATGTAATTGAGAAGCTGACCAAAGTCACCAAAGATATTGATGCTTCTTATGACAATTTCTGCACTAAAGTGATCAACACCCTGAAATATTTTCGTGGAAGGAATTAAGTGTCTGGGATGCTTAGACAATCTTTTTATTTTGTTTTATGTAGTGGTAGTTAAAACTATTTCTTTTGGTTGTGTCTTGGACGAGCATATCAGTCGACTATACTCAGTATAACTGCTTAGATGTATATATTTTTTACCTGCTTAACTAGTACTATTATTGCAAATTATTTTTCTTGCTCTTTTTGATTGATATCAAAGGGTAAAAGAAAGAAAAAGAGTACAGGTACAAGACAAGGGGGAAACACACAAGAACCAGCCTCAAGACAAGGGGAGCACACTTGAAAAAAGGAAGTAGCCATAAATTAGTCAAACTCTTTTTAGATTATTGTCATCATAAAAAAAAGGGGAGATTGTTAAGTTTAGAATTTTAATAATGATCAATAATCTAAAAGAAGCCTTGATTAATGACATATCTTTGTATGCAGATTTGGAAAAAAGATCCTACTCAATGGTTATGTATTTTGAACTTTGTTTTACATGAAAAATGAATCAATCAGTCAATAAACAAAGAATGAAAGTCAATCAGTTAGCCTTGTCAAAGATTCTCAAGGAAGCAAGAATGGGAAGAGAGCTAATCAAGGCCAAAGATCAAATCCAGAAGATTCTGCAGAAGCTCAAATCAAGGAGGAATGATGGAAGCAACTCGTCAAGATTAAGGATGAATCTAAATACCATTTCAAGCTAGATTCATGAGGCTACCCTTGGGTATTTCTCTTAGATGTATATGTCTCACAAGGAAAGGACTCCTAGAATTGCTGCAATACAATTCTAGAAGACAAGGAAATAGAAGACTCATCAAGCTATAAAGGAAGAAGCAGAAGAACATTCAACACACGCAACTACATCATATGTTTCTAAGCCTTTCTAGTTCTTAGTACAAACAATGTATTCTTGAGTTTATAAGTGTCACAAAAGATAGGAAGGTTTAGAACATAAAACGAGAGTTGTGTCAACATTGGAAAGAATAATTGTCGATGTATATCGTTGTTGGTGAACGTACTAAAACCATCAATGCTGTAAACATTCATCAAATATCTAAGAGAACCCTTTGTAACCCAAGGGAACTGGACGTAGGTATCACACCGGTATTGAACCAGTATAATAAATGTTGTGTCTTCTTTACCTTTCTGTTCATTTAGTTTATCTCTACTGAAATAAATAATTGCGCAAAGTCTAGTCGACTAAATTCATACTTAGTCAACTAGGATTTTTTAATTGGTTACAATTTACCCCCTCTTGTACTTTCACATTTCGTTTTATACCACGATACTTGAATAAATGAGAAGTTTTAAGTGTAATCTTGATTTGGTGTATAGTTGATATTAGGTATGGAGTTTATTAACAAAGAAAGATTTTGAGATGTAGGTTATATGCATGTGCATACCCCATCGTACTCTAGTATTTACTGATCTTTACTCTTTAGCATACCATGTCAATTCCTATAAGAATGTGTAATAGTGTGCAGAAATAGAAGTAAACAGTTTTTTAATTTATGATTGACCCCAGAAGTTTGCTTGAGACTTCAGGTTCAATATTTCAGCATAGGACAGTTACATCTCACAAAATGTTGAAATGACATGATTTCCTACTGAATTTTGTAGGAAAAGGGACAAAAAGTTAAGAGGAAATGATCTCCTATAACCATTTCTAGTTTGATTAGAAGAAAATGACTTATAAAGATTTAGTTTTGTAATTATAGTTCCTTTATGTTATTTTTTTTTATTAATCTCTTGCCAAAAGAGTGATATAACTTAAACAACAATAAATAGTGGACTACAAAACCAAATCTTCCCAAAAATAAGGTGATAGCATCTCTTCCGTGCGTGTGTTTGTGGTGGCGTGGATGAAGTGATCTCCATGTCCACTTACAATTTGATTTTTAGAAAATGACCCTACAAAGATCTCATGTGTTATTTTTTAACTAAAATAACATTTGTGATGGATTAGAAAACCAAATTTCCCCATAGTTATCGAACAAACACAATGGGTAAGGGTCAGTATGGGGATGTCAAGAATCAGAATCAGAATCAGAGATGCCTTGATTTGAGATGGATCATCTATTTTAAGTTACTGGGTTCTAAAGTAATAATTTGTACATATTTAATAAACATTTTAAGATAAATACATGATTTGAACCAAAGCGACTGGGCTGATCTCGCAGCAGACACTATGGCTCCGCCTCTGCGTTCATAGAATCTATCCAATGAAGAATAATAAGAGAGCGAGCGCCATTCTCAAAGAACATGTTGAACGGGCATAGAGAAAACGAAGTGTGGAGGAAAAGCATAACACAACTTCAATTTTTGTGTTATGGAAAGACGGGGATCCAAAATTTAAAGTTTATGGGTTTTCATAGCAATCTTGAGTTATATATACAATAATAATTTGGTTCACAGTCTAACTTCTTACTACAAGTACAAGGTTTGGGCGAAAGCTGCTGGATTTACGAGAACCCATATACTTGAGGCTAAAACCGCCCCCGGTTATGGATAGCTTGCAAAGTTGGACTAGGAATGAGAACTAAAAACACAACTTCAGAAAACAAATCCTGTTTAATCACTTTATATCCATTGTGTTGCTTCTGAAAAGCATAAGATACAGAAAAAGGGAAATGATAACAGCAAACATAAAAGCCAGCATAAATGTAGCTCATTTCTGTTAAAACACAAAAATGACGCTCTACAGTAGGAAACGAAGAAACAATTAGCAGGAGCGGACATACAACAGATGTTCAGAACAATGTCTTGAGTTACTGAGCGATGCTTGATGATATGTACACAAATCACACACATTCAACCAGGGCAACTTTAAAAGCTTCAAGACATACTAACTGCATCAGATTCATATCTGTCCACCTTTACGATCCTCCCTTTTATTGGATGCTTTTTTAAATTAGTCCTGGATCTTCGAGGTGTATTCCGAGCTTGTTTCTCAAACCTGAATACAAAACTAAAACATGCAGTAACGAGCTACCAAACAGCATATGGACATATTTAACATCAAGAAGGAGACTTGTACTTACAGCCGAGCCTTCTTTTTTTCTTTGTGCATTGCTAATTGATTCTCTTTACTGTCCAACTGTGAATTACATGAAAGATCCTGCTCGTTGGAAGCGGGTGAATCCACGTACTCATTACCACTGCTTTCACTGCTCAGCCTTGATGCTGAGAAGTACAAAGATGAAAAAGTTGTTCGAATTGGAGGAGGACAATCCTTGACTGTGGGAATGTGTTCATTAGAGGTAACATGGCTTTGGCCGGAGTGAGTTGGCCGTCTTTTGCAGATTGATGAAGCTGTTGATATGTCCTGTCATCAGTTAAAAAAACCTCTAATAACATAAATAAAGTTTCAACATATTTGCAGGCTAAAATTATGTAATTAAAGGTCGCTGGTAGAAATCTGACTCAGTTTCTGCAGTACAAGAAAACTAGATGTTTCGTCGAGTGAGAACAAATCATATTAGAGAAAACCGTAAATTAAGGCAATATATTGCAGACCTCAACCCTCTTGACATAGCTATGATCTGATCTATCCGTCGAAGAAAAATTCTCCATAGATGAGCATGTCATATCCTCCTCATTAAACAATGTGTTGTTCAGATCTTGCTCCTCGCCAAAGAGTTCTTCAAAATTTTGGAAGGTCAAATCAACATCAGGCATGTTGGAATTGTCAAAACATCCTTCTTCAGCATAAGGTCCTAGATCTTGCAGATTTTGAGGCCAAAGCTGCAGAGTTCATATAATGATCAAGCTAGTACACAGAGGCGGACCTATGTTGTAAAGAGAGGGTTCACCAGCACCCGGAAAGTTCAGCAAAGATTCCATGTATGCATTGTATATGCCTTTAGAAATTATTGATATATTAGTAGTGACACCCTATATATAAAGCAGATTTTGGTTATATACTTGCATTTACGGTTCTAATCCCTTATCAAATTGCATGTTAATAATAATAAGGGAGAAGAGAAGAGAGCTAGACATTATCCCTGAATATTGTATCTGCATTTAGACTCCCATAAGAGCGCGCATGTCTAACAATCATAAGGAGAAGAGGTTAAGGAACAGACAAATAGTGCGGAAAATCATAAGGGGAAGAGGAGAAGAAACAGGCAAATAGTGGTTTGACCTCGCTAAAAGTTTCATTCTAAAGTCATCACCTTGCATCAATGCCAAGATTGAAGACAGTACATGGTGCTACAAAAAGAAAATTTATTTATCATACTAGACTAGATTTCAGCCTATGTTTCTTAATATTAGGTGTTAGTGACTGTAGGTAAAGATTTTAACAGCACATGAAAACTCTTTGTAGCTAATTGTGCTCTGTAAGATAAAGTATTTTGCCAGCATAGCAGCAAATGTAATGCATGGCTTGCTTCTTTGGTCCCTGAAATTTCTAAGTAAAGTAAAACTAGTTTGTTTGCCTAGAAATTTCTAAGTAAAGTAAAACTAGTTAGTTAATGAGAAGTCTTATGCTTTAGCTGGTTTGCGGACACTGTCCCCTAAATGAAAAATGTGGCTCTCAGTGTTCCTTACATCCCTTCAGACAAATCGCCGACATTAATTGATTACACGAAGAATCCCCTTAATGACAAAATGTGAGTGCCAGTGTTCCTTACATCGCTTCTGACAAACTTCCAACATGAACTAAATACACACACACAAAAAAAAAAAAAAAAAGAAGCACGAGGATAACTGCAGATAGGGATCATGCACCTATACCAGACAGAAAATGAGAACTTCAGATTTGAAACTGAGAAAGATCTTGAATTTTGGTCTAGTTACATGATCAGAAGGGTGAAAAAGTTACCTATGTTGGAACCAACTACACCCATGATATTTGCGCATGCATTCCTTTTTCTGTCAATTTTGAAGACTTTATGCTACAGTTTATTCCAGAGACAAAACATTATCTTTAATATCCTAGGAGAGAATCTAAACAAGACAAACAATCTTGCAATGCTTCTATGGGCGAGGGCAGGTTTTGCCATCAGCCTTGAGTACTCCATACAAAATAAAACGTCAAATGTGTGAAAGCGGGATAAGGGAGAGAATGACATAGAGTAGCAGCAGACCTGACTACTCTGAACTGGACTTTTACATTCCCAAAACGAATCTCCATCTGGCAACGGTAAAGGAAAAGATTCAGCAACTGAACTTTCATGAGTACTGACCCAATCCTGAAGTTCAGGGCCAAGATCAAGTGAACTCTGCAAGCGATCAGATTTGCTATGCATATTCCATGAAGTACCATTCTTGAATGAAGAAACATTATTTTGACTTTCTCCACTTGTTAAATTGTAACTGCCCTCTGTCAGCTGAAGTCTTTCCAAGTCAAGAATCTGTTGTAGAATGAAAGAAGTGCTCTCCCGCCGTTTATGCAAGCATAACACCTAAAGAAATGAAGCAAGTGATTATAGTGGTACGAAGGCCATATATGACTTGTAAAGGATATACAAAGAAGCTAATACACTTCCAAAAATTACCTACAAAGAAAGTAGGGAGGATGTTATTATGTAAGTTGACCTTATTAACTATTGGCATTCATAAAATAATCGATCCTTGACAATTAACGAACATGATATGAAAAGATGAAGACAAGAGTTTGAGGAGTTACAATGTAAGGTGACTTATTGCTATGATCTACAGTCATATACAAGGATTTATCCCTTAATGGAGAAAGCTAAATTGCATAGCCAATATTAATTAGGTTAACTGCATTAGAATCACCCCTTCTATAATTAAAATGCGGAAGATTATACTGGTCAGACAGTCAGGGCGGATAACCGAATCTATAGCCGAAATTATCGGGCACGTGAACCCATGGTCCCTCCGTCAAACTAGGTATTTTATGTACGTATTTTCTAGAATTGGTCCAATATTATGTATTGGCACCCATGCTCCATAAGGGTTGAATGGTGCACTTGGTTCAATTCTTAATTGTTTACTCAAAAGAACAGGTATCAATTCCCACTTAAAACTTTTTTTTCTTCCTCTCTTTAACTGCGCACCCATGTTGTAGAAATCCTAGATCCGCCTCCGTGGTCAGTTGACATAATCATCCTCATACTTATATGCATATTCCTACTTAACTATAATCTATCTCAACAATATTTGTATGAGCAATCCAAGATGTAAAGACATCTTTAATTTAGTATGCTAATCTCATGCTTAATTCAACCCCAACATGTAGAGATACTAGTATTCTAGACCAACTTTGGAAGCACTTCGCCAGAAACCATCAACTTACTATTCGAAATTATAGTGAAAATATGATAAAATCTCCAACATGCTAATTCAGGATTTCAGGAAAAAGCTGCAAAACAATAGGTATTTAGTTACTGATGTCTACCTTAGTGTGGTTGTTACTTGATCCCACTTCACATTCTGCAGAGACAACAGGACCTCTGAAGTCGAGTTCAGTAGCCAAGGAAGAGGCCCCAGTTGAGGAGTGAGACCGTTTGACAATTTTTGGATTGACCTTGGCTCCATTTACTGTTCCATTTGATGTTGAGATGAACTTATCTGGTGGAGTAGTATTTTCCAACTCATTCAAGCCGAAACCCCACAATGCTGCCAAATCCTTAGCAGAAGGACACCCCATATAACTAGTGATCACTTTTCTTAGGTGTTGAGAAGATAGGTCATGATGGCGGCGGTCACAGTCACGACACATGAACATTTGATGATCCGAACATCGAATATAAGCCAGGTTGTATCCACAAGGCTCGCAGACAAGGGTGCGCGGATGCCGATTAGAAAGGGCATTGGCTGAATGAACTTTAGCATCACAAGAAAGGCAAAGGTGTGCTGCATCAGACTCACAATACACCACTGGCTTCAATAACATGCAGAATTCACATGTTTTCTCCATTTCCATGTTCACAAAACAGAACGACCCTCGAAAGAGTTGCTCTGCACATCTAAGCCATACAATATACTCTTAGAAAAATCTCTTCTAAGACCTCCAAAAGTAAAAAGTATAAATTCCAGCTCATAGTAAGATAACTTTGTGCAAGATCTTTATCAATTAACTCTCAGAATCAATGATGAACTCAAATGACAATTGCAGAAAGAATTCAGTGCAAGAACATAAGCTAAATATTGGATTAGTTTTCTGTTCTTATCAACTAAAATACTCGGTGATGAATGGAAATTACTAATATCTATCTATACCAAACTCCTACAAATTAAACATTATGCATAATTAAACAATTTACACTTTCATAAAGCACAATAGAGATTTCTTTATAGATAGTTCAAACTATTATAGACTACAGTAAGTTATTCAAAAGATTTCAAGAACTCCTCAATGAAAATCACAAGAAGCAGCAGCAGCACGGTGCATCAGGCATCCCGCGTTCACGCAGGGTACAGAGAAGGGTCGCACCTCAAGGGATGTGATGTAGTCAACCTACCTCAATGCAAGCATTAGCGGCATTAAAAACAAGAACAAAATTCTAGTATATATTAATCAAACCTGTAGTACTTAGTAGTAACATCAATTGTTTCTTCACTGCAATTTTCTAAAAGAATTATCGCCAAGACACCTAATTAATTTCTATTAATCACATTAGGAAAAACAAAACTAAAACGCAGAAAGAGTTTCAATTAAAGTAATGAACCTGTGATTGTTGGCAAGAAGTCAACTTTCTTGAATCAGCAAAAAATATGAAACTTAATTATTTAAGTGAATTTATGAAAGAGAGAGAGAAAAAGGATTGAGGGTAAGGGGGTATATGGAGGAGAGTCACAGGAATATGCATCTTATCATTCATGATCAGCAGCACTGCCTTTGATTTCTCTTGATGTACTTGTCATTATATGTGCTTGTTATCTTCTTTTTTCCTCACTGGCTATTCAATATTTATATTAAAGCCTGAATAAATTTGAATTTATGCTCAAAAATCTATATTAAGAAATAAAGTATTTTCTGACAAACACGATAACATGTCAGGGTTCGAATTAAAAATATATAAAGAAGTACTAATAAATCTACCGCAATACTTGATGATTCATTCTTTGTTATCTACTTTTCTCTCTATCACTATCTCTAAAGCAAAGAAAGACAAAAGGGACACTTTTTGGTATTACGTGGCATTTTTCTGTATGGGTTTATCTTAGGTGGATGATAACACGTAAGCTAATGGTGGGGCCCAAAAGCGTTATCTAGGTCTTTGCATGTGAAGTGGAGTGATCCATTAGTTGGTGGTTCAAGCGAATGTAAGGTTGCCACGTTAGGGGTAAGAGATTAGAGATCACTGCTTACAACGGAGAAATATGGCCGTACAATCCCAGACTCCTCTAGCTTGGAAGTAGCAAATAAAGTTCTCGTTTCAACTTTCAACATAGATATTAGTTTTGTCACGTCCCATAATTCATTATAACGTTATCGTTAGATAAGCTAATGGTGATGTACCAACTTGATTATTTATTTATTTTTTTGAAATCATAAGTTTTATTAAGTAAAGAATTTAATGTGTCTAAAGACCATGAATACTCAAAACAAGTAAGATATAAAGTAAAAGATGACAACATCGAATCGAACCATAAACAACCACTAGGATATCCCAAAATCCGGTGTCATAAGTGCATGAGTATCAGCTAAAAAGTACAATAATAATACAACATCTGTCTGGAATATGAAATAGACAGGATAAAGAAAATAAATAAGATGGAAACTCTGAGGGCTGCGGTGCGTAGCATAGAGAGCAGCTCACCATAAAGCCTCCCCAATAGCTACGCCTACGCGCCAAGATGACCATCGAATGAACATGTCAGATCCTACACATTTAGTGCAGAAGTGTAGCATGGGTACGTAAATCAACGCGTACCCAATAAGTATCCAGCCTAACCCCGGAGAAGTAGTGACGAGGATATCGACACTTACTAGTAGTCCAATAAATAAAATGCAGGAATCATAAATAGGCATGAAATACAACAAGATCAATAGAATAAGGAACAGTAGATAACAAAATCCGTTAACAACAATTATCAGTTAAAATGTCCCCAAGAGCCACATGCTATCTCAACAAATAGGAACCCTCAATTAGATATCTGATCTCATGACATAAAGAGAGTATTACGTAATTTTCAAATTTAATTAAGAGGGTAATCTCATGGGTATTCGGACTCTTAGCGATTTCACGCATGAATTATGCCAAGGTCGTTCGGCCCGATCCATATAGTCGTATACATACACTGCCGAGATCGTACGACGCGATCCATGGATGCATCCCATAATATATATATATATATATATAGATATCGCCGAGGCGTTCGGCCCAATCCACAGGAATAAGGAAACTCTTCGAATTTACGAATTATATATTTACAATTTCAGGGTAAGTCCATAAATGAATATAAATTCTCCTCAATAATTAATAGTCCGCCAAATCTCTAGATAATGAAGCTCGATTTAACATAATCTTTAACCAAAATCTTACTTATTAATTCAAGCAATTCAAACTAGAAAAAATGAGTTTAAATAGTGCAAGTAATAACATAATAAAGGCTTACGTCTACCCGGACATAACATGAATCTAGCTACGTACGGACTCTCGTCACCTTGTGCATACATAACCCCCACAGCAATTAACACATATATCAAATACATCACCCAGGGGGTGATTTTCCCCTCACAGGGTTAGATATGAGGCTTATCTCGCTCTGAAATTCTATAACCGCCTCTCTAACACCTCAAACAAATGCTCATCGATCCGAAACTAGTCAAACATCATGCAAATCAATCAAAATATACTCCAAGTGTATAATTTAATAATTTATAATAATTCTTAACTCCGCTCGAAAAGTCAACAAAGTCAACCCTCGGATCCACATGCCCAGATTTCGAAAATTTTCGAAGATAAACTTTACCAATAAATACCACAAACTCAAATATATAATCTATTCCTAACTCCATGTCCAATTTCGCGGCCAAAATCTAAAAATATCAAATTCTAGGTTTTCTCCTAAACTCCCACAATTTCCATAAATGTTCATGTTCAATCCATATATAACTCATGTATTTAACTTGCAATAAGTGTGAATCACTTACCTCGTGTTGCTTGATGAATAACTCCTCAAAATAGCTCTCCAAATTCGGCCATCCAAGTGCAAAATGAGAGAAGTGAAAGCTAAGTCCCAAATTAAAAACAAGTCTACCCAGGCCCTTCTTCTTCGTGATCGCGGGAATACCTTCGCGACCGCGAAGGCCAAAATCAGATGCCCCAGATTCACTCTACGCGAACGCGACAAAATCAACGCGATCGCGAACCTCTGCCTAATCAGCCTACGCGAACGCGAGCCCAGCTCTGCGAACGCGAAGGCCAAACCTTCATGCCTCAGACCAAAACCTTCTGTAATCGCGAAGAACAACCTTCCAAGCCCAGCCCGCTAACACTTCGCGTTCGCGACCCTTGCCATGCGAACACGATGAACCATCAGACCAAACTTCGTGATCGCGAGCCACTATGTGCGATCGCGAAGAATAACTTCGCCAGCTCCCAGCCAACACTACGCGATCGCGATGAACAACCCAAACACCAGAAACCAGCAATCACAAAATAAAGAAAAATGGTCTGAAACCATCCCGAGATACACCCGAGGCCCCTGGGACTCCGTCCAATCACACCAACTAGTCACATAACATAACACAGACCTGCTCGAGGTCTCAAATCACACCAAACAACATCAAAACTACGAATTGACGATCGAAACTTTTCTTTAAACTTTCAACTTATAAACTTCGACGAACGCGTCCGAATTACACTTAAATATTCCGGAATGACGCCAAACTTTATGTACAAGTCACAAATCATGAAACGAACCCATTCCAAGGCTCGAAATCCCAAACGGACATCCATAACATCAAAATCTATTTCAAATCAAACTTAAAAAATTCTAAAACCTTCAAAATGCTAACTTTTCACAATAAGTGCTGAATTGCTCCCGGGCCACCCGATACTCAACCTGAATACACGCCCAAGTCCGAAATCATCATATGAACCTATTGGAACCTTCAAATCCCGATTCCGAGGTCGTTCATTCAAAAATCAGACCTTGATCAACTCTTCCAACTTAAAGCTTTCGAATTGAGATTTTTTCTTCCGAATCAACTCAGAACTTCCCGAAATTCAATTCCTAACATACGTACAAGTCATAAAACATGAAGTGAAGCTACTTAAGGCCTCAACCCGTTGAACAAAGCGCTAAGGCTCAAAATGACCGATCGTGTCGTTACAATTTTATTATTTGTAAACTAATTTAATTTTATAATTTTGTCTATTATTTTAATTTCAACTTACAACAAAATTTTGATGTTGAAAATTGTGTTTTGAGGAGTATTTGAAGTGAACAGATAACTTTCTGCTTTCGCACACAAAATCTTCAACTTAGTAAAATTCATGTCTAGAAAAATACTTTCAAATATTCTTTCAATTTCAATTTCAAAACTTATTTTTTCAGTTTCAACAAATCGATAGTCGAAATCATTCCATTCAAAATCTGTTAAAATGTTGTGTTTCTAAATTCTTGTAAGGCCATTCAACAATACAGTTCAGAGCTTGTTGAATACCCTTACAAATTCTATAATTTCTCATATTTGTAGTAAATAACGAGCTAATGAGTTTTATGACCAGTTTTACGAAAATCCTTTCCTGTTTTGGAAGCCTCGTACCATTGGTCCGGACGTACACAAGTTTGTGTCATAATATATAGTCTCGTGACCGGAGCTGTCAAAACGGGCCAGGCCAGTCCAGCCCAGTCCAAGCTTCATGGGCTTTTAAATTTGGTGAATTAGGCCGGGCCTGACCGCCATATGAATGGGCCTTAAAATGGCCAGCCCAACCCATCCCTAAGAGGGCCACGGGTTAGGACAGGCCGACCCTTCAATTATTTTTAGAAAAAAGAATTTCTTTAAATCCTTAAATAGTTTTTTGTGACATAGTTGATTAATCATGTAAACAACTTCTGTTTGCTTAGAACATATAAAAAACTTGATATTTGACGATGAATCTCGTAATTAAAATGTAAATTCTCTATATCTCTAACTCCTCTTTTTAAAAGTTACGTGAATATTTTCTTAATACTTTTCTTTCATTTTTCTTAGATTCAGGAATTGCTTCAATAAGTTTATATGCTGAGGTTTTTAATTTAGGATTAACATCGTTTGCCAATTTCATCATTATAGTCCATAAATGTTTTAAATTCCTGAAATTCGCTAGTAGTCATATTTTTTTTATATTTAAAGTTGATCTTTTTCTATACTGAAGAACAATTTAAATATTAATAATATATTAAAGTAATCCAAACTGATCATTGGCCACTTGAAGTAATATTTTCTTTTGATAAAAGATTATTTTGGTCACCTAAAACTTTTCGAGTTCGTTATTAGTTAAGCAAAAGAAAAACTAATTTTGTCATATTACATGCATGTCAAAAATCTAAATTCTAGTTGATATGGAAGGGTAGATGAGCAATCTAGGGTTGGAGAATGGGGATTATAGTTAATCATTTTTTTAGTTTTTAGTTTTTTTAAATATTAAATATTTAATAGTTAATTAATTTAAATTTAATTAATTTTTGGCCCACGGGCCGGCCCAGGCCCAATTTCGGTCAAGCCTCAAGGGCCAACGGATTATCTTCGGCCGGACTTTTAAGCCTCAATTTTAAATGGGCTCAAAAAATTCTAACCAAACACTACTCAAATAACAGGCTGGTGAAGCCAGTCCATTTTGACGGCTCTACTCGTGACCACGGTTGCAGATCTAAAATTAGTAATGTCAGCACTTAATTTCCCTCTAAAACTTGAAGCTATTAGACGATGATTCAGACAATTTAATATAGTGCGTAAAAAAGTTTGTCCGACTGTTTTCTATCACTATCTTTTACCAATAAAGATTTTCAATATCAATATATTTGGTCCAAAAAAAAAAAAAAAAAAAAAAAAAAAAAAAAATACTCACACTTGATGAGGACATGTTATATATCTAAATTTATAATACAAGTGTTCTAATCACTTAATTTCTTAGATAAAGTGTTAGAAATTCAACATTGGACATTTCCTTTTCATGTTAACTATGGTAAAATAAGTACTCCTTCCGTTTTAATTTAAATGACACACTTTTCATATTAGTCTGTTTCAAAAAAAAATGACATATTTTCATATTTAAAAATAATTTAACTTTAATTTTTTTTTATTTTACTCACTTTATCCTTAATAAGAAGTTTTTATAGTCACATAAATGTTATAACCCCACAAAGCTGCCAATTAAGCTTTTAGGATCACATATTTCAAAAGTTTTTTTTTATTAAACATTATTTCATGTTTTCCCACATCATCTAAATTGAAACGTAGGGAGTAAGATTTAGTTGGGGACCTTTATAACATACCACTCTTCCCCGTTAAGTCTTGAAAATAGCAATAAATTAATCATCTTTATGTGGAAAAAGAATTCTCCTTTTTGTCATTTTATAGAAAAGTTAATTAGATTTTTATTTTAACAAAACCAAAACTATCTGATCCAAAAGACAGATTTGTGATTTTTGGAAATCAGAGCAAAATGTTTTCAGAAACTGAAAGGATTTAAAGGTAGGTCTTTACCAAAACTAACAGAAATCTTTTCCAAGTAAATTTTCTCTAACTCCTAATCCAAAAGCACAAATTTTCTCGAAAATTATTTAGCATAATCTAGTTAGTTTTTCAAAGAACTATGAGAAAGCGAAAATTATATTGCAATAGTGTTCATGTTAAGTGTCCCAAAAGTTTGGACTACCTTTATGTTTTCACCTAATGTTTTAGCAAAATAGATGTGAAAATAGCATCGACTAACCAGTTTTCGGAGTAGTAATTGAGAAATATCCACGTTTGTAAAGTCATTGAAAAATAACTATTATTTTGCTGAATCACGAAAAGTTCCAACATAATATGCTGGATTAGGGAGCTCCTGCATGTAAACTTCCAGCATATAATATTGGAACTCCAGCACATGGAAAGTTCCACCTGGATTATGGAGCTCATGTGTATAAACTTCCAGCATATTATGTTGAAATTTCAGCACATTATGATGGAATCTCATATGTAAAAAATTCGAACTCCAGCATATTATGTTGGATTTTTAGGGTATTTTTGTTCAGATTTTTATCTTTACAAGAAAAAATGGCTAAATTTTGATCACTTTTAAAATTGTGACTATTTTTCAATTACCAATTATAAATCTGGCTATTTATGATATTTTTTTTTTCAAAATAGATTTGTGTTACCGTTCATAGGAGTACTTAGTGAAAAGAAAGTGATCTTAGATGGAAAGACCCAAATCTTAGTAAAAGGCTTACAACCAAAATCATTTGTTTTGGCCCACGAAAATTGCATAAGAATTTACAAGGGATTTTTACCTAGCTATACTATAATAGAATCCTATTTATCACATTTATTTAAGTTCTTTATTAATTATTTTGTATATCTATATTTACAAGTTATATACAAAACCATAAAAAAAAAAAAAAATCAAAATCGGCCACGGAGTTTTAAAAAAGAAATATTTTGAAACTTGTGATATTCTATTAACATTTCTGAATGGCCATAAATATTTGTTATTAAAGATAAAATAAAAAAATTTAAATTAAATTATTTTTAAATTTAAAAATATATCATTATTTTTTAAAATCGGATTAACAAAAATATCATTTTCCTTATAATGGAAGGACTATTTCTTTTTATTGTACAATTTTGGGTAGGGTAGCCTGTAAATAATACTGTAAACTAGGGAATTTTTCGCGCTTCGCGCGATTATGAAAAAATACTATTAAATTTAGAAATGATCTTTTTATAAATTTACTTTAGAAGTGATAATTTATTTCATGTATATAGATACGAAAAAAAGAATAATTCATATCACCGACTCCAACTTTGTTTGGAACTGACGTATAGTTATTGTTGTTGTTGTTGTTGTTGTTGTTGTTATTGTTATAAATACGAATAATAAATTTAATTATATATATCAATAAGATCACAATATAAATGTTTTTAGTTGAATTAGAGTTCAAATGAACTATATTTTTTAATATCAAATATTCCTTAAAAATGAAAAAGGGATTTTAAGAAATTTGTTCATATATTCTGTGTTTGGAGAGCTTAACCACGACCCTCTTAGTCTAATTTCAAAAACATGTACATAAGAACTTATTTTTCTTTAATTATATAATAAAACTTTTACTTGATGAACTTTTCTTCTATTCAAGTAAAAGAAAATGAAAAATGAAACAAAAAACAGGGAAAAAGAGAAAATTATTTTTGTATTCCTTTCCTTTTTAATTTTTTGCCTTTCATTGTTCTTCTTTTTCTTTCTATCATCATATTACTTGATATTCCTCTCAGTTTTCATCATCTAAATGAACTCTTATTATCGACTTTCCTCTTTATTATATTGTTATTGACTCCTATATTACGACTCTCTGTTATCCTCATCTACAATACATTTATTGTGCTCACAAGTTTACGAGAGGTATGTTAAGACCCTATAGCCATTCATTCTTTGCTTGACATAATAATTGGCGGTATGTAGCACACTCCTTCACCATCTTATAGAATAAGCTAATCAACAACAACAATAACAGACCCAGTATAATCCCACAAGCGGGTTCTAGGAGGGTAGTATGTACACAGACTTTACTCTTACCTACAAGAAGAAAGAGAGGCTATAAAAGAAATTAACCAATGATAAAAAAATATCTGCTCCAAATGCGTAAAATTAAATTCTAATTTCACGCTATTTTTTCCCTTTCTTTTACCTTTTTCTGTTTTTTTTTCGTATTCTTTCTTTTCTTATATCTATCTATTTATTTATCTTTTCAGAAAGAATGTCTACTTATGTTTTCTTTCTTCTCTAACTTTTCATAACCAGCAACTCCTTCACTCTAAAATACTCTTTTCATCTTCAGTATCACCCGAAGTATACTAAGATTTTCTTTAATCTCAAAAAATCTGTTTATTTATTTTGGAAGCTAAATTTTTCCTATCAATTCAATACACACAACATCTTCACAAATTGGAGAGAATCAACGATATTAACAAAAATTTCAAGTTTTGGTCTCATTGACAATTGGACAATCCGAGAAATTTATTATTTGGGTCATTTTCATTGAAGATATATAAATTATCTGGTAACAAATAACACCTATCTCAAAATAGCATCAACACTTATTATTATTGATATAGTTTTTTTATCTTAGGAATTAACAAATAAATATGCTCACAGTCTTTCAGTAAAATACATGAAAGACATCAAAGTATCTAGGCCATTTACATGAAATCGAGAAATTGAGAAGTATAAACTATTTTTTTTAATATAAAAGATAATTGACATAAAAACTATATGAAATAATACCTTTAGAAATTTACTTTTAGTTTAATAAAATCGATACTTATTAGATATCAAAATAGGAAGTAGGTCCCAAAACAGAATTAAAAAAAAGAAGAGAACAACATGAATTGAAAATCATAATTATCACCCAAAAACAACACATTAATGAATCACCAAAAAATAAATAGTATTTCAAAACAATTATTACAAGAAAAAAATAAAATACTAGTGAGTTACCCGAAAAGGATATTAGGGTAAATAAAATTACATTCATAGTAATAATATTCTTAGGTGAAAACTTTACTAACAATAAAACAGGGAAAAAGATTCCAAAGCAACTAACCTGGCTTAAAAATATATTACATTAGTCTCTCTGAGCAACTTGTCACCTTTCTATCATATTACGATGAATAGATAATGAGAAAACAACACGAAGATTTCTACTAATAATAAAAAAAAAAAGAAACATGGAGATCTCTAAAGTTTTGCATGATACAAGTCGTTCATTTGAGTATACTTACAGTTTTTGCCCATTACTGCTTGCAATTAATCTCAATCATCTTTCTGTTCAATCACCACATATTGGACCTCTGCATTATTTGACAAATATATTATCTTTCAAGTGATTGAATCTTATTAAATACAACAACCCCACCGCCGTACTCTTCTCCATTTTCTTGTTGCTGACATTGAAGTAGCTTTTCAAACTTCATTAGAAGTAAAACGGAAAAAAACTTCTTCATGAGAAATAATAAAAAAGGATAGAATATATAGATTTTGTCATAGAAGAAATAGTTAAAAAGTAGAGCAGATGATTGAAAAGGAACTTGGGAAAGAGAATGTAAAAGTAGAAGAATGAAGAATCATTTTGTTTCAGTAAAAACGGACCGAAAATGATCAAAAGTGAGGGAAATGAATTATAAATGGCGGCCAATTAAGAGACGTGACTATTGAGTTTTTTTATTTATTTAGGGCACATTACATAAATAGGGGAATTAGCCAAAAGATAGATAAATCTAAACCCTAAACTGTAAAAGGTGCCATGTAGATATACAAATTATTAAGGGATTCGCTTCAATTAAACTGTCCATATCGAGATTGTGTCTGTTATCACTTCATGGTTTCAAACATTCAATTTTGGACTTTCAGTGACATTTCAAAACAAAACCATAATGATGCATGAACCATTTTCATTTTATACAAGTATTCAAATATTTTGGGGGTAGAAGAAAAAGAAAACTTATGCAGCATTAGTAGATGTACAAATCACGTGTGTGAGGCCAAAAGCTCACCATGTTTCAATGTTGATCCTTCAGTATTCCTACAAAATAATAACAATAAAATTTCTCAAAGAATACCGAAACGAAATGGAAAAAGGGATACACTATACGCGCACTACCATCAACAAAAACAAAGCACAACACTTCTACCAAATATTTTATACATAGATAAAGAATATGTTTTCAATGTGAATACAGCCTGAACTAACAGAGATTACTCCGGGTAAAGAAAAATACGAAAAAAGAAAATCATAAAAGGTAAGAGTGTTCCCCTGTGGACCTTAAAAGTAACATTTTTTTTTTCCGAGAACTATATCACCAACATAGCAAATTTCACATGCCTCGCATTTCTTCACATGATGCAGACCCACTGTTTATAGACTGAAATTTGAGAAATACTTCATTGAAGCATACAACTAAAAGTTTATTCCCCAAATTCAAAACCTTCACATTCCATCAAATGCACACTAAAAAGGAAAAAAGAGAAAACAAAAAAGAAAGTAGGATGGGCATGCAGGAAAGTAGCTGTTGGCACTATTATATTAATTAAAGTTACCATAAAAAAAGGAAACTAATCTATAGATATACACAACGAAACGGAAGAAACACGTCTATTAATTTAAAGATTTGGAAGTTACGAACTGTATGCGAACGCCGTTAAATAGGGGTAGTGAAAAATAAAACGAACTAAAGAAGAAAAGGGCAAAAAAATGAGGAAACAGATAGATGCAAATCCTGATCAATAAGCCTTGTCACGTCACGGGGCATTGTCCCTCAATTATATAAATATATAGATATTGAGGCGGAAAATAAACGACCTTAATTTGATGATCATGAAACTTATGCTTAGGGAACGTACTATGGAGTTATTTTATTACTTTTTTGTTTTTTTCTTTCCTGAAGCAAGTTACAAGCATTAAGCTGTATCTAAACAACAAATCTATTTGGACCAAAAAGAAAAATATATATATATATATCTATCGAGAAAATCATTTTCACAAACAGCTTTTGCGACTATGCTAGCCACCTATTGTCTTCTTTATCTATATTTATCTCAAATAATATTATTTTTATTAGGAAATTCTTTAGTCTCTCTTCTTGTAGTAGCAAAACAAAATTGACTTGAGATTTTTTTGCATAGTTTCATTCAATTATAATCATATTTTCCAATCAAAGTTTGAAAACTTGAACGCTTCAATTAAGAAAATTATACATAGATCATATTGAAATGTATGCAAGTGATCATCACCATCCGATCGGAGAAGCTTGAATCCATTCCTTGTTCATTTTCTCCTCAAAAAAAAAAAGGAAAAACAAGAAAAGAGTCTTCTTGTTCTATAGATTATGACCGGTTAGGATACTCTTAACGGTATAAATTTAATCTAAAGCGGATAATATCATATGTTAAAGCAATGGCTTAATCCTACCGGAAAGACCCTTGTGTCTATGGATTTAGTGATGCTTAGTAGAAAAGAAGGTGATGAAAAACTAAAGGTACTGAATGAGGCACATACATAATAGTACTGCATGGGGTAAAATATGTTCATATTTAATGATCCCATGAGAAAGCGACACGTGAAACCGAAAGCAAAAGATAGCTGAACCAGAAGGCAATGATCTTGCTTGTCACCGGAGAGAATGATACTCATAATGACAAAATTAATGCTGCCATCCGATAGCATTCAATGAAGAATATTCTACAACATTAAGTGCATGATCCATTATAGAAAATATGGCATTCACTGCCCGCCGTTACACATCCTTCAATGACCCTCATAGTTGTCATTAAATATGAACTTAATCCTAGGACATTGTTCCCTAGGTGCAGCTATAAATAGTGAGTTCTACCATCATTGTAAATGAGAGAAATTTTCTCACAAGCATACACTATATTCTATCAAAAGCTCAATAACATTTTACTTTCTTGCTTATCTGTATTGTTCTTATTGCTCCCGATAGCTCTGCGCTCGGAACCACGATATCTGCTGACTATTTTGATTTTAAGGCTAAGTCTTATATTTCTGTCTAATTCAACTATTATTTTTGGCTCAAATTAATTCACTTGTCTTTAAACCACGTATAAATTCAACTAGATCATTTTACGGGTAAACAGTTTGGCGCCCACCATGAAGCATAAACAGTCGTGTAATTGAATTGATCCCTCAATCTGTTACTAACTTGTTTGTTTTTTTTTGTTCTTAGCAAAAATTATTAAAAATAGCAGATAATGGTGTTAACAACACACAACAACATTGAGGCCCAAGGAAATCAGCCTCAACACGAGGATTCAATCAGTGATACCCGCAACGAGGGAAACTAGGCCACGCCGGTCCACAGTGGCCGATATCCGCGACATGTTCGAGAGACAACTCCTGATGATGCTGAAAAAGAGCAAGTCGTCAAAGCGGTCAGGGTCTTGCAAGAGCAACAGGAGGCCATTATAGGCCATCTCACACGGCATGATAAGGTCATGACGGAACTGAAGCAGGCATTGTCGGGCGTTTCCAACAACGCGAATGTGCAAGGCCTAGTTCTTCCTGGTGCTCCCGGAAACCAAGCGATGCAGAGGGTCAACAACAACACCTCGAGGGGCGAGGTCGGCTCTGATAGTGCCGGGAGGAACGTGTCCGGTCACAACAACAAGAATAATCCCTTTAAAATCGAACTCATGCGATTTATGAGGGAAGTAAATGCCCGAATGGATCAAATTCCAGGCCCACCACCAGTACTAAAAGAAATACACTCAATTACCGTACAAACCAAGTGTAGAACCTGAACTGATCCCGAAGCAGTTTAAAATTCCAGATGTGCCGAAGTATGATGGGACTTCGAATCCTCAGGAGTATATCACTACCTATATACCGTCGATGAAGGGAAACGATTTACCTCCCTACGAGATTGAGTCAGTTTTGCTGAAAAAATTCTGGGTGACTCGGGAGCCCTGATGTGGTATTCGCTTTTGCTCGACCATTCCATAGATTTCTTTGAGATGCTCGCGGATTCTTTCATCAAGACCTATGCTGGGACAAGAAAGGTACAAGATCGAAAGGATGATATATTCAGGATTGCGCAAGGAGAGTCCGAGTTGCTGCGGGAGTTCGTAACCAGGTTCTAGAAGGAAAGGATGTTGCTACCGGCCGTTCCGGATGAATGGGCGGCTGAAGCATTCACCAAAGGTCTGAATCCGAGAAGTTCTGACGCTTCCCAGAAGTTGAAAGAAATTTTGCTCGAGTTCCAGGAGACAACTTGGGCGGATGTTCACAATTGGTACGAGTCAAAAATAAGGACTGAAGATGAACAACCCAGTTTCCCAGCATCGGTTAAGAGTCGGGACCAGGAGAAGAATAAAGAGAAATCGAAAGAAGACTTCGACACAGATCGACGGTCTTCGAGGAGTTGGATTCCCTTCAGCGGATAGATTTTCTATTGTTAGAAGAACCGATCACGGTCGAAACAATAGGTCCATTCTGAACAAGGAAATGTCAGATTCTTCCTACCATAGACTTTTCGAATACAACTTCAACGTTAGCGTAGTGGAGCTGGTATCGACCATGAGGAACATTAAATAAACGCAGTTATCGAAGCCAATAAGATCAGATACTGTCCAGAGAGATCCTAATTTGTGGTGTGAATACCACGGGACAAACGGTCCCCAGACTGGGGACTTCCGGCATTTGTGCGAAGAGGTGGCGACATTGCTGAAAAATGCCATCTCATGGAATATTTAAGCGATCGGGTTGAAAACAACTATGGTCGCAATTGTGATAATGTGAAGCCTTCAAAAGCAGGAGAAGATCCCCCATGCATGATGATCAACATGATTTT